GGTTTGCTTGGATTAAACATGTGTTTATTTTGTACTAAAACTTATTCAGAAAAAAACAAAATTTATGCGGAGAAGGGAGGGTTGAAGGATATAAACGTTTTTTATAAAAATTAAAACAGTTTAATACTTCATAAACATGTAAATATGATATGAAATAATTTGAAAATACTTCAATTTTAGTTTCTGCAAACAATGTACAGCGTGATTCAGAAATTTTGATCAAATAAATATTTTAGTTACATCAAAAGGCAGTTTTATTAAAATAAAGGTAGAAAAAAGTTTACGTATAGACTTATCATAATGCACAAGTGAAAGCTTATTAACGGATAATTGTATTACCTGGATACAGCGAATTTTTTACTTATTAAATACGTATATTTCATTTACTTTCTCTAGCGATTTGCCCCTTCCAATGTCTTGGATGCGCGCTGGCAAAATCGTAGGTAGAGAGAAAAAAGCTCATTACACTCTCGACTCTTGTTCATTAAACATATTTTTTCATACAATACCTGCCAAAAGTTTTGTTCAATCATGAATAGTAGCGCTAGTCGAAAACAAGCGTTAAAGCCTTTAATATGTCTTCAAATATGAATAAACATCTCGTTGATATTTTCAGTAGTAATTGGTACTAATAACAGCACATTTGAGCAATGCAATTGTAGTGGATAAAATGGTCAATTTTTCCGTGCAGTACTGTACGGGTTATACGCTCCTCAACGGTTAAGAGTTTGGCCGAGAGTTGTCTCCTTTCTTTTCTGACCTGGTGCTGTTCTTTTCTTCTTTGCGCCGGTCAAACCGAAGGTCACATCGCTAGAGAAACTAAACGAAGTATACTAGGGACATTTAAATACCAAATAAATCTAATCTGCCAAATCGCTGAAATAATCTCGCTTCTGTAGATTTGTATTAATTAAAAAAGGAAGCTTTTTTTTGCATTAAAGAAATGGATCCCATCATTCTAAATACATACAACACCGATCAATAAAACCACCTTGTGATTGTTAAAGAACATATGCGCTTTTCGCCCTGTTTAATTTCTAATATTGACTCCAGTCACGAAGGAAGACCGTGCCTTTTTTATGTTTTTTCCGAGTAGCTAAAGGCTTAACGAGCCTTCACATACTTTACATTCAAATGAACGAAGGTAAGGATTGCAATTTTTGCATGCAGTACCTAATATGAAAATGCAGTGAATATACTAGATAAGGGTTTTCCAGGACATTTAGTGAAAGACAATGTGAAACTAGAAAGAAGTTAACTTGTATGTAATATCCAGGTATTAATCAGTCACTTTAATACTTGATTGGAAAATAAAAGAACAGAAAGACTGTGGTCACCGATTGTGATCATATTTAACTTCTTTATAAGCTGCAGATTTAAGATCATCGGGTCAATGAGAGCTAATTATAAAGTTCCTATCTAATATTAGATTAGACGCTGTTGGAAAGCTTTTACACGAAGCTGTACGAATATTCTATATCAAAAAAAGATGATTGGAAATATCTTGAAGTATTTATTTCAGTATATTCACGACAATTTGATAGCTGTTATTATATTTTATTTTTAAAAACTCTAGTCTCTTTCATAAGCAAGTATTTTATCTAAATAAGTAAATTTTTAAAGATTTTTTAAAGTGTGATACGTACTTCCAATGCATTGCGCTAAAGGGGTGAAACTAAAACAACTTTTTGTAAATTTCGTTAAATAGCATACCATTCAAAATGAGTAATTTTTTAAGTTATCATGTTTTTAAATTTATTTAGAAAAGACACCATTCTTAACAAAAACAATAGTCTACTATTTATTAGGCGTTTGTTTTTTGGGTGGTAAGATTTTGGTAGGAAAATCATTGTTGCCCTATTTTACTATTTGGTTATAAGTCAAAGTCACAAGGGGGTTGAAAGTTGGGCGAAATGTTGGTTGTTATTTTTAAACAAATAAATAACTTTCAACTCCCTTGTGGCTTTGATTTCAAACCGAATCAATAACATGAAGCTAAAAAATTGATGATGCAAGCAAGTTTTATGTAAATTAAAGGAAACAAAAGAAAAGTTTTAAAAAATGTATACTAACAGTTCACAACAATTATTTCTACAAAACATTGGCTTCTTAAGGTGAAGATATTCTTCATTAATGTACATTTTTTTAAACTTTACTTTCGTTTCTTTTAATTGATTATGGAGTTTCAACAAGTCAAACCTTCTACCATTAATTAAATTTTATATAATCTTTTATTTGTGCACTGATTGTTTTACAATTAGAAAAAAGGCTTGAGGAATATAAACTATAACTTCTTTCCGGACAGCATACTGCAAATTAATTTTAGTTTAATCTTTTCATAGGAGTTTATCGAATTACGAATCACCCTACATATTGTAATTAACTACATTTGTACTATAGATCGATTCTTTTCCAATCTCTCGCGAATAATAATTATATTGTTCAATATGCCGAGTGAATTTTAATAGATACCTACATTTGAACATTGTACATCTACTCGTTTAATGTGCCTATAAACACGCTATAATCACATTATACGAGGGTGGATTGATAAGTTTCCGGCCTAACCAAGAGATGACGCCACTAGGCCTACCTTGAGGTGACATTCTATAGTACCATCCTTGGATAGCTTGTAGCTATAGTTTCAGCCCGATCTCCTTGCTAGTGTAGGTTTGACAGCACGCTGAACAAGACGCCTCTGTGGTTTTCGTAAAAATGGAAAAGCAGGAAAATCGTGCTGTCATCAAATACTTTTATTTGAAGGGGTTAACGCCGAAGGAAATTAAAAAAGAGATGGACTCAACACTGGGGACATCCTCCCCGTCATATTCAACCGTTAAGCAGTGGGTTTCCGAGTTTAAAAAGGGTCGTGTGAGCACCTCTGATGGGCCTCGCTCAGGACGCCCCGTTGAGGTCACAACTCCAGATATGATCGAAAAAATTCATCAAATAGTGCTGGGAGACCGCAGATTGAAAGTGCGTGAGATAGCTGAGACCTGTAAGATGTCATATGAACGTGTGCAACATATTTTGCACCAACATTTGCATATGGAAAAGCTCTGTGCAAGATGGGTGCCGCGTTTGCTAACAGTCGACCAAAAATTGATTCGAAAAAACATTTCTACCGCAAATTTGTCATTGTATAAGCGTAATCCAAGCGAATTTTTGCGTCGATTCGTAACCGTTGACGAAACGTGGGTCCACCACTACACTCCTGAAACCAAAGAACAGTCTAAACAGTGGATTGGACCAGGGGAACCAACTCCAAAGAAGGCAAAAACAATTTTTTCGGCGAACAAGGTTATGGCTACTGTTTTTTGGGATGCAAGAGGTATTATATACATTGATTACCTTGCAAAGGGTAATACTATCACTGGTCAATACTACGCAGACTTATTGCAACGTTTGAGCCACGAGGTGAAAATTAAACGACCTCATCTGGCGAAGAAAAAAATCTTGTTTCATCACGATAACGCACCAGCGCACACGTCAATCGTTGCGACGGCTAAAATCAACGATCTAAAGTTTGAATTGATGCCGCACCCTCCTTACTCTCCAGACCTAGCCCCGAGTGACTATTTTCTGTTCCCTAATCTCAAAAAATGGCTTGGCGGTAAGAGATTTGCGGACAATGAAGAAGTAATCGAAGCTGTAAATGGTTATTTTGAGGAGCTTGACGAATCAGTCTATAGAGATGGCATTAATAGACTGGAACACCGCTATGAGAAATGTATCAGCCTTGGAGGAGATTATGTTGAGAAATAAAAAAAAAAAATTTTTAAAAACCTTGTTTTTCTTGGTCAGGCCGGAAACTTATCAATCCACCCTCGTAAATGTCATATTAAAATTGAAGGATTGAACATATTCTGTGCCTATCCCGCTCTCACTTTGTTGCAAATGTCAGGCAGAAATTTGTATGCAGGAGAAAGCGTCCCTTCACTGTAAGTTTCTTCGTTTACAAAATTCACATCGCATCCGAAAACTAATTAAAGTAATTACTGAGTAGCTCTTCCTTTTTACAACTTTTCAGTATACATTGTTTAAAAGTTTTTTGAAGTGAAATTTCTTTACGCACGGTAGGCAGGGTAAGTTCGTTTCATGCGAGTTGCTATGTAACGAAATCATGCAACGCATTTCCCCCGCTGGCTGTCCCTATGACTGCTTAGATCTTTAAAATTACGCAACGGATTTTGATGCGGTTTTTTTTAATAGATAGAGTTATTCAAGAGGAAGGTTTATATGTATAATACATGCATAATTTAGTAGAGAAACACTGATAATTTTAGAGATTTGTAATGTGATGTCGTAAATAAACACATTTTTGCGCTTACATTGCAAACGCTGCTTGAACCCTACGAGATAGATCAAAATAATATACTACAGTATTGTACACCTTAAAAAGGTCTACAAAAAATCCGCGATGGTATATGCCTATCTCTTAGGGATAACCCACAATAACCATTTTTTATCTACTTTTTACGAGAAATAATGGCTTCTTTACGAAGCAATTTTAAGCAATACAGCATTAATTCTTATCCAATTAAGTTGTATAATTACACGTTGTATTTTTTTTTTTTAAATAAACGTCGCTTTCTCTTAATTCGTTCATCTCTATTATCGTTCACACATCCTTAGTATATTTGACGTACATCAGTAGAACGAATAAACAAACAAAATGAAATATATAGGAATTTGCTGGAGGATATTATATGATACATCGAAATGAGACGGAAGAACTCCAAAGGAATACGAAAACATTTTCCTCCAAACCCGTCGTTAAACACGCCTTTATGCGAGACTCGTATTTCTTGTCAATATCCTCACAGTTATCAATTTCAATTTTACGAATCGAATGTAGATTTGAAAAGAGGCAGTTTTTTATCATTTCGACTTTACGTTAGAGTGATATTAATATTCACAACATTACTAAATTTCGAATGTCATGGTCAAATTGGGTAATGCTGCAAAATTAATTTAATGAGGCATTCCTTCTGTTCCAGAACTTTACTGTCGAGGAGTATTTGATGGATGGGCCTGTTGGCCTGACACCCCTGCAGGTCTAGCTGCCAGTCAGCCTTGTCCAGAATTCATTGTTGGATTTGATCCCGAACGTAAGTGGATACAGAAAATACATACCTAATGTTATAACACTGAAAAAGGATTAATCGTTTAATACTCCTGTTTCAAATATGGGATATTAGACAGAAGGATCACATTCATGATCAGTCTCTTTGAAAGAATATTGAAGTCACTGGCAAGTTTTCAAAATTCGACTGAATTCATATTAAATTTTAAAAATGAAGAAAAGTGACTTGTAATTTCCGTTTTGTTTAGTTTTTCTTAGTTCTTCTGGTTTTCTAAATTAATTTCCAGAATAAATTAAAAATATCTATGCACCGTATCGTATCACTTTCCTTGGCACCTAGCAAGAAAAATAACGAAAGCGGCATTATAACGTACTTAGATTGATTTTCTTCCTAACAAACGGAAATAAATTTTCATCTCGTGAAATGATATCAATTTTCGCAAGATTTTCAAGAAGCTCTACTGACACTTGTCTTTTATATGAGTTGTTTCATTTCATCGAAATTAATTTTCAGGACTTTGTCACTAAATCGATTGAAATTATTCTAACAAAACTGTAATCATGTTCAGTTTTAATCTAATTCATATACCTTTAATTCAATATCGAATGCGGGTGATTACTGATTGGTAGTTAGCGATATTTTAAACAAAAAAATAAATAAATGTAAATTTTAAATCTTATTAGTCACTGATCAAAACATTTTTATTTCTATATGAAACACTTTGACATTTAATAGGGGTTAATATCAAATATTAATGTGAAAATTCATTTTTAATTTTCTCCCACTACAAACTACGTCAAGTTAATGAGGTCCCGGGGTCGATTCTCGGCAAGGGTGTGACAACAGTAACAATTTTTCCCTCATTAACTTGAGGTAGTTTGCAGTGGGAGAAAATTAAAAATTAATTTTCACATTAATATTTATTTCTATATTATTCCGTACATTCTTGAAATAGTTTATACTTTACTCTGTATACTGCATTTAATATGTTCATTAATACGTTCTTCGAATGATCTACCAATTTGACAGATATAATATATTTGTGAATACTACAAAGTTTCTGTTAAGAATTATTTGCGCCTCCTTTATCAGGTGTACGTTTTTAAATGAAATTTTCTTGAAATACACCGATAGTTTTAAAGGAAGGATGCTACGAAATTGCTTTATGTACGATGTAATTTATTCCGCAGTTGTATCGCAGAAGCCGTTGCAATTTTAGGATTCCACTTTGCATTGTGTACTTATCACAAGCTGAACACACACGTATCTAAAGAACAACGGAAGGACAAAGACGGAATGTAAAATGAATTCGCTATAGACGCGTGGTTGTTCATGCGCTAATTGCGTTTTAATTAACACACAAAGCAAACGTTGCGGGGTGGGGTATTATACAGGAACGAAGGATATGAAATGACAAAAAATAAAAGACAGACATCTGTCTGCTCTCTTTGAATAACTATTTCATTTGCATTGACACAGCTTTTATGAATCAAGTAGACATTATTTTCATCATAGCAAATAATTTTTCTGTGAAAATGACAACAAAAATACAAAGGAAAGCGTAGAATTTTGTAATGTTAGTTAAATACTCAACGGTTTTTCTAGAATGGCTAGAACTCATTAATAGTTACTGCAATCTGCAGTATTTCATATGTGTGATATGGCAATTGAATCTGTCAACTAATAACTTAGTTACACATTTATCCTATATCACTGCAGTATATAATATTGTGCTAGGTATCTACATTCCAGGCGTAAATAGGTTTGTAAAGGAAAATACAAGCAATAAAGAGACTTACCCGGTATTTCACATCCAAATAATTCATATATGATTTGTGGTTCCACGACTTAGGATGTGTGATTCTCTGGAGACATTGCGAGCCATTAAAAACACTGAAAGAAGAGAAAAATTGTATTGTTTTAAGAACATCATCTAAATTTTACAACTGCTCAGGGATATTCTACAAATTACCCCAATTTACTTTTATCTGTGCATCTATATAGGTAATATTACACTTACGTTAAAGTGTTTAAATTTATCCATTTCTTTTCCTTGCTGTTTTATTAATCATCATCATTAATAATTGTTAAATGAAGAATAAAATGAACTCTAAAAAAATTTTTAGAACGTACTCTAAATTTTGAAAACTTCAACTTTGGTTAACATCCCTGTCATCAACATAAAAGTTAAATTACATAAAATTGTTTCCTTCTCTATTTACAAGGATTATTGATCACAAGGAGAATACATGAAATGAATACCAGAATACTACAATTTCTTCTCGCGACGTTTCGTCAAGGATTTATTGTTGACTTCTTCAGGCGCCGAATCAATATTCGAAACGGTTGAAACTATTTCGAGAAGATTTTACAGATCTAAAGAAGAGTTTTGCCAGAAGTAATCCAATCTATGTCTTTCTGTCTGTCTGTCTGTCAGTCAGACTGTCTGTTTGTATGGGGTAATCTTTCGAAACGGTTGAATTGATTGAATAATCTAGGCTAATCTTTATCTGTTAATTTCTTTGTATGGATTAATTATCGAAAATTCACTTGTTTCAGGTATTGCATATCGAAAATGTGAAGAAAACGGTGATTGGTTTGTTCATCCTATTTACAACAAAACGTGGTCGAACTACACAACTTGTGTTAACTTAGAAGAACTGTCTGTAAGTATCCTACCATCATTGATAGCAAAAGATCAGTAATTTTTAAAATCATGGCCTCTATCAAACTGTAAATACATATGAATATGTGTTATTGAAACATTATTATGGTTTAAAATAATTCGAAGTGGTCTGTATTCTGTCGAAACTGCCAGACGCGGATCGCGATTTCGATCTTTTTGGATCTCATCAGAGCGTCGAAGGCAGCTCCGACAGAACACAGACCGACTTTTACCTGCTTACTTAACAGTGCGTTTTCGAAAATACTACAAATGGCGCAGTGAACGCCATCTGTAGCACGATGCTACATTTTAGGATTACGTATGCTCCAACAAGGTCCACTTGTGTGGATATCTACTTGCTGAAAACGAATCCCGACGTAGCCAACCTCAACGTCATAGGCACGTTAGCTTAATCGAATAAAATAAATCGAAACTGCCAACCTTAGCTTAAGCTAACGTGCCTATGACGTTGAGGTTGGCTACGCCGGGATTCGTTTTCAGCAAGAAATATCCACACAGATGGCGTTTACTGCGCCATTTGTAGTATTTTCGATTGTTATGGTTTATTTTATTTTTCTAATAGAATTACGTACAAAATATTTCATTAAGAGTTTAAGTAGTACTTTTATCAAAAGAAAAAGCAACAATAATGCAATCTAATTTGGCGAGAATGAATTTTGCTTTTATTGACATCATTCCCGATAGGTACGTGCTGTTGATGGAATCGAAATGAGTGAATTACGGGAGACAGTTTTTTTTTTTTTTTTTAATAAGCCTTCTCCAGTTAAGTTCGTTAAAGTACGGTGGCCGGCGGCAGCTTAATAAAACAGACGTGTTTTTATTTTCAGTTCCGTCAGCAGATAAACATTGTTTACTCCGTCGGCTACAGCATTTCCCTCGTGGCATTGGTCATTTCCTTGGCAATCCTGACGTATTTCAAGTGAGTATACACAATGCGGTGGTCTTATCAACCCTCCGACCCTAGAACCCCACATTAAATGCGCACACGCTGTCTCCTAATGCAAATACAACGTGCTTGACAATATTTTATATAAACTGTGAGGAAAAAATTTGAAATGTTCTTTCGATTTTAAAGGACGCTTTTACGAATTTAGAATACTTGAACACATTCATTGGAGTACTAAAGAAGAAACCTAGATACCATCTTTCATATACAAAGCTTAAGGATTACTTTCAGGACGGAAGGAGCAGTAGAGATATAAAACAGAGGATATGTTGGGTCTTCAATAAAAAGAAGTCGCTTCTGTGCTCGCGAACGATTAATTTAAAAATCTAAAAAGATTGTTAAATGTTAGAAATGAAGAGGTATTAGATAGAATAGGAACTCTTTCAATAAGAAATAGGACAGATAGATTGGTAGGACACCTTCTCAGGCATGAATGGCTAGTTAGAGACGTATTAGAAGCAGAAACAAGAGTAAAGAGGACTAGAGGTATATCTAGATTAGATTACTGTTCACAAATGGTTAAGGATGTGGGATGTTCTTAAATCCTTTGTCGGAAAAAAAAGAAATGACCTTCCGAACAACCCTATATATACCGAGCGGCATGGCCTAGAGGTCTAGACCATTGCTTAACATTCGGGAGGACGCCGGTTCGATTCCGGGTCCGTCTGCCTTGGTCCAAGTTCTTCTGTGGTTTCCTTGGATCACTTAGGCAAATGCTGGGGCAGTAATATTCCACAGATAATCATTCATTCTCTTCTGTCTTCATTTCGTCCGTCTCATCTTTCTCACCCGAACCACCACCCACCCATTCCCACGATTCCTGAAAGCAGGCTGAAGAGGGCCTTCCGCCCTACCTTCCGGCATAGTCCGGAGGGACTGCCCGCCCACCAGCATTACTAGCTGGTGGGAATGAAACACCCAAAAGTTTTTTTTTTCTAGTTTTAGAGAAACCAATGCTAGGACTGACCTTAAAATGATGAACGATTACTCTAAAAAATATGCTTACGAAAGGCGCATTAGGTTTTATGTGGAGTGAAGATAAATAAAAATAAATCAGAAATACTGCATGGTACAAATGAAACGAAGGCAGGGTTAAAGTTAAAGGTTAAAATTAATTATTGAATATAATAACATAAAACTATTTATCTACTACATGGGGAATATTTTACGGAAAATGTTTATTTTAACCATACTAATAATATTCGCAAACCATACAATTACGTTACAAAGTAACCAATTCTTTACAGTTTTTCGCAGTTTCCAGAAATTCAACGGTTCATTTTGGAGGCAATTTAAATTCTCTAATAAAAGTTTTATAGCTAAAGTGTCAAAAAAGCGTTTCTCATCATTAACCAATTTATATATAAAGCATTGTTCTGTATGAATCGTCCTCTTACCTGCATATATTATGTAGGTAAGTTTTATTAGGTGTAGGTACATACATCATAAATTCGAGTTATATAATCAATTTTATTCTTTTACTACCTTTAAGGCTACATTGTTAAAGCTGAAAGAAAAGCGAATTCAAAGGAAATCTGTCATTATTGTTGCATAATAAAGGCTCGAGAGTCCCATTACGGAGTAAGAAAGTAGCGGACTTTCAGTGAGGCGCAAATTACGAAAAAATAAAACTCAATATTTCAAATAATTTGCTGTGTTGTACTGCAATAATAAAAACAACAAATAAAGCTTGCAACAACCTTTGTTAACATTATTATTACTCCACGCATGTGACACAAACAACTAAAACCGGGATAAGCTTCTATTCAATTCTGTTTGAAACGTTTAAGTTAAACATATACATAAACAATTTTCCGATAACAAGCGCCGTTGCCAGTCCCCTTAAGGCATACTTTTTTGAATAAATCCCATGTGAACGGTTTTTTTGTAGAATTAACCATATGTATTATGGATTATAACTTCTAATTAGTGAAATGTATAGCATGACCTTTCTAATACCAAAATATAAAAATCCTTATCTATTCCAAATAACGAAAAACGTAACTTACAAAAACATTTGCTTTCTCTAAATTAATCGGTTAGGTAGATATATTTAATCAAATTAATTTGTCACAAACAATGTTCTAGAAATATGCAAATTTGTTTCCTTGACCTAATTGTTACTGCTTATCCTTTATTTTGTGTAAATTTTTCAGATTACAAACATAAAGGAGACGCGTTATAAGCGAATAACAGAAATACCGTGAATAGAAAAGGTTAGAAGGGAGACTGTATTGGGAAGAGTGGGTAAACAGAGGACGCTGTAAAAGTCAATATCAAAAAGAGTAGGTAGAACGTCTTTATGACACCTTCTGAGGAATGAAGAGCTAATTAGAGACGCTTTAATAGCTAAAACAGAACAAGATTTACGTAAGATAAACACATTAGTGTTCGTAAATAGTAAAAGGGACAAGGGATGTGGGATGTTTTAGTCTTCAAGAAACGAGAAGTTGGATTCACCATCTTGGTACGCACAATTTTTAGAAGTTTTTGGTGATATTTCTTTGAATTCTAATAAAACTTTTATTCCTTGAATGACAGTCATCGTGTAAATAGTTTCATAAATAAAATGATTGTGGCGTACCTACCCTATTTATATTTTCGTAAAAAGGTTAACACTTTTACACTCTTTCTAGTTAATACAATAGGTAGTGTTTCCAAGTAAAATGTTTTCGTTTTAATTAAACAAACGGTATTTTTAATGGCAGCGATGACCTGATCGCATTGGAAAGGCCAATCGTTGTATTGTTTGCTTCTTTTTTTAGCAATTTTCGTGGCAACAGCAGTTCGAAATAGTTATTGTTAACTTCTAGAATGTGGTATTTTACTGCGAATCAAAATAAGCGCTCAAGTGGCCGTTAATACTAACAGCTATGAGCCTTAGGGTTCGTACGTTATTATGGCTGTTATGAGATAAGTTTTTTTTATATTCTTCGTATTAATGCCAGAAAAGTTTTATTGTAACAGATGTTTCTCCGCGTATATATTTAGATACATCAATAAACAAGGTATTGAGATTTCACGTACAAGAAAAGGCAGAATACAATGAATTATTAACGTTTTATTGCAAACGTACCTATACTAACAACTGCTTTATTCGTTGCAATCTCTAAAACGAATATAAGCTGCACTTTCAAACTCTTTCGAATTGAATTAGAAATCATTGAGGAAGTGTTGTCTATTTCATCTATTCTGCTATTTACAGTGGTTAAACAGAGACAAAGAAAGGTAAATAAATAATTTTTAAATAAAAATAACCCTAGAAAAAAATTTTCAGTCTCTCTCCAGTCCCTCAGAGTCTTTCAGCGTCTCTGAGATTAGCGTCTCTCACAGTCTCTCAGTTTTGCCTAGGTGTTTTTATGGATCTTATATAAAATTGTTTCCTTCTCTATTTACAAGGATTATTGATCACAAGGAGCATACTTGAAATGAATACCAGAATATTACGATTCCTACTCGCGACGTTTCGTCAAGGATTTATTGTTGACTTCTTTAGGCGCCGAATTAATATTCGAAACGGTTGAAACTATTTCGAAAAGATTTTACAGATCTAAAGAAGAGTTTTGCCAGAAGTAATCCAATCTATGTTTTTCTGTCTGTCTGTCTGTCTGTCAAGACTGTCTGTCAGACTGTCATTAGGTTTTATGTGGAGTGAAGATAAATAAAAATAAATCAGAAATACTGCATGGTACAAATGAAACGAAGGCAGGGTTAAAGTTAAAGGTTAAAATTAATTATTGAATATAATAACATAAAACTATTTATCTACTACATGGGGAATATTTTACGGAAAATGTTTATTTTAACCATACTAATAATATTCGCAAACCATACAATTACGTTACAAAGTAACCAATTCTTTACAGTTTTTCGCAGTTTCCAGAAATTCAACGGTTCATTTTGGAGGCAATTTAAATTCTCTAATAAAAGTTTTATAGCTAAAGTGTCAAAAAAGCGTTTCTCATCATTAACCAATTTATATATAAAGCATTNAATGAATAAATCTGAAAAATTGAGAGACTCGAGTCTCTCGTAGAAAGACTGGGATCTCTGAAATATGTTGAACTTAGAAAATATTAATCATGTCTATCGAGACACCACTTATTGAGAGATTCGAGTCTCTCGTTCAGAGACAGGATACGGGATATGAAATGAGAATCTCTCTATGAGCGACTCGAGTCTCTCGTTCAGAGACGCTAAACAGTTTTTTTGACAGTCTCTCTCAGCGGCACCAGAGAGACTCGATGAGAGACGGAGGGTCGAGTCTCGCTTTCAGAGTCTCTGAGAGACTGAAAATTTTTATCTCGGGAAATGAACGCAAAATTTAACTTTACATTCAGATTATGCAGATTTCTGTGAACTCTATAATTTATTCCCATTTTAAAAATAAGTTACGAAAAGTGAACATTATTTTTAGTTCAAATGCACTCGATCGTGAACAAGTCCAATTCGTTAAAGCAGATCATTCTCTTTGTCTCATCGGTGAAATGGGGATTTTTCACCATCAAGAATAATCGAACCATCGAAAATGCAAATGCGACCTCTAGAGGGTAAGCTGCAAAAGCAAGCAAAATTGAAGGATTTTCTTCAATCTTTATCCGGTTGCAATCTACGAGTATATAGGACAGATTTCGTGACACCGAACGACTGGAATCAACGGCTAGGATTGCTTTTTATTACTGCTCTTTTTTTTTCGATTGACTTTTCAACGAGTTTCTGGTATTTTTGATTTCCACGGGGGCATTGTTTCGTTCGTTAATTTTATTGGGAAATGTTTTCCTGACCTTTGAAGAGGAAACCGAAAACTTGGATTTGCAGTTATATGAAAAAGTTTTGAATATATAAATCTTTAAAATTGAAATTAAGTCAGCAAAGGTCAGTTCTAAAACTAACTGGACACACACTACCCCTCTACTATTTCCTTAAGAATTTGACAATGTTAAGTTTGTAGGAACTCAACAATAAGCTTTGCTCTTTTTACCTTCCTACTAATGCTGAATTTGTACATAGAAGAATTTATTAAAAAAAATAAACATTTAATGGTAAAATTTTGCAGTAGTTTTATTTGTTACAGGGCTTTAGTTAGCTTTAACCTGTTTTCCCAGCAATTACTCGCATGAGATAACTGCCCATTTAGCGTTAATAGTTAGTTTGGAATGCCTGCACTGGTGTAGGAATAATGGCATTTAAATCCTGCTTATATTGATATGGCTGTTTCTGTCGTCAATTTCCGCATTTTCCACACCTGCACTTAACAGCGTAACCGTGAATTATTTTGAGCTTATGTGATTTTTACCTTCCATTAAGTACATTATCAAAATTACTATTATACAAATCCGCGTCGAAAGCTTTTTACATTAAGATATCATGTTTTGTTTTGTTCATTATCACAATATATCTAAATTTTATGAAAACCATCGAATTACATAAAAAGTGAAGATTATCATCCACCACCAGTGTATATTCTTATTGATTTTTGAAAATAATACCTATCTTAAGAAATAAACTTCCAATATTTTGCCAATAAATTTTAAAATGAAGGACTACAAAACAGTATTTAGATGGTTTCCGTTTTTCTTCTTTGTAATGCAAAAAATAACACAAATAAATATTGCTAATAAATATTTATCTTTTGTTATACTTAATGATCGACTAATGTACAACAAAATTATAGTGAATGATTACTCATATCATTCCATTTTCCTTTCTAAATTACACATAATAACTTTTCATCTAAACACAAAGTACAAAAGTTTTTGTTTTATCAACTATTTTCGCTGTTCAAAAGTAGCGTTTGGTTCTGTTGAGACTGGTAACTGTTTATATTACAACGGCGACGTGTAGCCGTGAGTTAGCTTAATAAACAGTCATGGATGGAAAATCATAAATCTATTAGATATGTGTTCGATAGTCGCCGATAGACTTTGTTTAGTCTGTAAGAAAACGGTTATTCATATAGAAATAACATGTACGGAAATACTTAAGCAGTCTTTAGTTTTTAGTCTTGGTTCAGCTCTCATTTTGTGAACAGCACATGTACTTATCAATTAAATTATCCTAAGTAAACTACTGTTTCCATTTTTTCATCGCAACTCTGACAGGTTCGTTACCAAGAATTAGTCAGTATATAGGTTCTACAAGACGAAATAAAGGATGGTGGGCTATTATATGGAACAACAACGGTTGAGAATTATTAGCATAGTGAACGCCAATGTGGCAAAACCACAAAATCCGCATAAATGCCATTAGGTTGCTATGATAATAACGATGTTTCGTTTCAATTACCGGGTCAATTTTCGCTAACTACCAATAATGGACCCAAAATCCCTTACCTATCGCATATTACAGTGGCAATGATATAGCGGTATTCGACAGGAAATAGAGTTATTCCACAATTATGAAGCCGCATTGAATGCATTATTCCATAAAAAATACGTACATACCTACATGGTGCCGGCAAGTTTAAACAAGATGACCTTTCGTCAGAAATATTGCCTATTACATATCTGTTCTCTTCCACTTAGATTTACGTAACTTTACTTTAGTTAATTAATTTTATTGAATGTTATAGTTATAGAGTTATACAGGGGCAAAAGATTAGTATGTTTAGATTTGCAGATGATATAACAGTATTAGCATCTAGCAAGGAGGAGTTAGAGATAGCTTTAAATAAAAAGGAAGCGGTATTGAATACAAAACAGTACTACTGTATAAAAATAAACAAAAGTAAAACGAAAATACTGGTATGCAAGAGAAGAAAAAGTAAGGCAAGAGAGAATATAAAGATAGCAAACGAAAAATTAGAAGAAGTGATTGATTTTAGGTATCTAGGATGTCAGATAAGTTAGGACGGAAGGAGTAGTAGGGATATAAAGCAGAGGATAATGCAGGGTCAAATCGCTTTCAATAAAAAGAAGTCAATTCTATACTCGCGAACGGTTAATTTAGAACTTCGGAAAAGGTTGCTAAAAGTGTATGTTTAGAGCACGGCGCTGTACGGGTGCGAAACATGGACAGTAGGCGCGGCGGAAAAGAAAAGGTTAGAAGCGTTCGAAACGTAGTGTTATTACAGACGAATGATGAGGACACCCTGGACAGAGAAGAATAGAAATAAAGAGGTATTAGAAAGAATAGGAGAACAGAGGACTCTATGAAAGTCAATAAGAAATAAGCGAGATAGATTAGTACGACACCTTCTTAAGCATGAAGGTCTAGTCACAGACATATTAGAGGCAGAAACAGGAGTTAAGAGGAATAGAGGTAGATCTAGATTAGATTACTGTTCGCAGATAGTTAAGGATTGGATAAGGGTTGCTGTAGTTTTAGGGAAATGCGAAGATTAGCTCAGGATAGAAAAAAGTGGAGGTACGTGTCCAACCAGTCTTAGGACTGACGACCTTATGATAATGATGACGATGTTATAAATCTACATTTTTTATTCTTTTTAAAATAACGTAAAGACAATTAAGTAAAGGAAACTGCAACACTACCCAGAAACCTATGAAATCCTAGCAAATCATAAATGCAACGAACATATAAACGTTTGAATATTTCATTACCTTTTTATTTGCAGATCTTTACGATGTGCTCGTATCACGGTTCACATGAATTTATTCGCATCCTTTGCAATGAACAATTTATTGTGGCTGATGTGGTATAACATAGTAATTGGAAATCCCGATGTAGTTTCCACAAATAAGGTAAGTGTTTAGCTAGAACTTTTTATATCATTATCAGTTCAGAAAATCGCTCTGAATTAGTTCGAAATTTTGGGCTACAATTGTGTATATTACAATAATCCCCGAGATAAAAATGCTCAGTCTCTCAGAGTCTCTGAAAGCGAGACTCGAGTCTCCGTCTCTCATCAAGTCCCTCTGGTGTCGCTGTCAGAGACTGTCAAGAAAACTGTTTAACGTCTCTGAACGAGAGACTCGAGTCGCTCATAGAGAGATCCTCATTTGTATCCAGTCTCTTAACGAGAGACTCGAATCTCTCAATAAGTGGTGTCTCGATAGACATGGTTAAAATCCCAGTCTTTCTACGAGAGACTCGAGTCTCTCAATTTTTCAGTTTTATTCATTCAGTCTCTCTGTGAGAGACTCGATTCTCTGAATTAACAATTTATCATTCGAGTTTCTCATATAGAGACTGTGAGAGATCCATGAAAACGCCTAGGCAATAACAGGGAGACTGTGAAAGACTGTTAGAGACGCTCTCGGAGACGCCGAAAGACTCTAAAAGACTCTGAAAAACTGGAGAGAGACTGAAAATTTTTGTCTAGGGGCATAATAATAGTAATAATTTACAACATTTGTAATGTTGAATTGAAAGCTTTATCTACTTCTTGGATAAAAGCAGATTAACCTATGGTAGAACGTGCCTATTGTACGTACAAAAATAGAAAACGTTTTACCAAAGAAGAATGAACAAAATGTGTTCTGACTGTCGAGGGAATCATTTATTTCGAATCTATGAAAGACGATGGCTAGATACAACGAAAAAAGAAAAGTAAAAAACATCTGCTATTTTTGACAAAAGCGAAAATTGAATTTTTTTATGAAAAAAGATTATTAATAGAGATTGTACACATTCAACAATAAATGAAGCATGGCTAAGAGGGTAAATATCCACCATCTACGTAGAAATAATAAAGATAACGAATCATACCAATAAAATCAATTTATAGTGAATTTTTATTCGAATTTAATGAAATGTTTACTGTTTACGCTATTCTTTCTTTGTTGTAGTGAAATGTCCTTTTAACTGATACTTTTTCGTTTTCAGTGGTGGTGTCGAATCCTACACATAGTCCTTTACTGTTTCCTCTTATCAAATTATACGTGGATGCTTTGCGAAGGCGTTTATCTCCATACGGTGCTTGTATCAGCTTTCATTTCCGAATCTAGGCTGTTAAAATACATGTACCTTCTGGGTTGGGGTGTGCCTGGTCTCACAATTGTTATTTATGCATTTACGAGGCATTTTGACGGTGAAGCGACGGATACATCGGAGTAAGTTTATCCATACAAATCCATTTCTATTTAGTAAAAATATGTACCCTTGTATAGGTAATTTAAAATCTTATGAACCTTCACAAGTGCGGATTTCTTCTCGTGTATATTGCTCATTATGAAAACATTGACCCGGCTGTTGTACGTAGTTCAGAACGAAATGAACTTCCAGATGAGCAAGACGCGATCGTTATTGCATTAATTTTGAACCTTCGGAAGACACTGACTCGGCTATTACTCTACTGATTTAATCATGTGTCTCCCTGTACAACCAGATAATCTATAAATAGGAATGATCAGTGTTTTTAAGAGGTAGAAATAACGTAGAAACATTAAGCGGACGTAGCTGTGTCACTATGCAACCCAAGGTCATGAGATTCTGAATTACCTTTACCTATAATAATATACGCGGACGTCAGAGACCGCAAATTCAGTAGGTGAATTTATGACTGGATAGAAATAACCAAATTTCATACTTTTCGTGTTTAGAAAGCCTTGTTAAATATATTAAATGTTTTGCGTAAATACAGTTTTCCATATTTTTGTTATGAGGAAATAAAATTTTCCTAGGAAAAAAATACTCAAGATAGTCACCTACTTTAGAAGTAAAATTATCTACTCAAACATTAGATAAATCATTGAAAAGGTTTTTAAATATACAACGGATGACTACGAAAGTTCAAAAAATAACTTTGGTATTATTTTCTACGAAAGTTTTTTTAAGAAAAAGTAAAAACAAATGTCGACTATTTTCCTCGAAAAAAGAAAGTGGAACGTCAATTTTAAGGAGCTTAATGAGTCCAAGATTGATTAAAAAGATAGGGAAACAGTTGCTACCAACAGAAAAGGACAGGGGAAAGAATTACTGGTTGGAGCTAGATTAATAGGCTGGCAACGTGCCAGGATTATTAGAAAATGTAAACTGACAACATCTTTTTATTCATCTAATATACTACCATCGATTAATGCCATTAATAATTCGTACAAATATCATTATTATCCCTCTTTACTTCCACTTAGATAAGATGATGATTTAATATTATACGACATCTATATTCCTAAGAAGTATGCGCCCTTATCTGTTTTCTTTTTGCGGCTGTTTTGAATAACAGCCTTCTTACTCCAAAATGGTCTAATCTGTAAATGATTTATCATAACCATACAACTTATGTGCGACAAAATCCACTGCGCGTTCTCCTTTGCAAAACATTTGCTCACCCTGACAAACGGCTATTGAAGGGGTAGAATCTTTTCTTAAAATATTTATACATGTTAAAGAAAACGTGACATTTTCCATGTTACTTGGAAAACCAAAAATTTTCCACGTGTTTTCATAATTCTTCAGATTTACGACCACTCATTGAATCGGCCCTTTTCAGGGCCACGTGGTGTGTTAAATCCGAAAAAATGAAAAAGGTTCAGAACGCCATTTCTGCTGGACTACAAAAAATCCTCGTCAATCGCCGTGGAGTGAGTATTTTGCAAAAGGGACACAGGTTTCGACGATTAGGAGATTTATAGGATAGAACCGAACCAAATTTTACACATGACATTGTAAAGTGTAAGCCCCGACTCAAAATAAAAATAAAAAGATCTTCGGATTACCTAAAGATACCAATGTTAAATTTAAACAATTCTTGTGGTATTTTGTTTGAGTAGTGTTTATTTAAAATACTTACATTGCTCGTAAAGCTTCACGTAATCGTATTTAAGGCTAAAGTGGAGAAGTTTGTATTTTACTTGAGTACGCAAAAGCTAATGGTGTGTTACCTGTATACTCGTAAAAGCTTTCAACGTAATGTTCTATTTGTTGTCGAAAATACGAAAGCGTGCAAAAAGTGACATATAAGTGAAGTTACCTAATCTAAAGCAGTTTGTGCTTCATTATTAATTTAATTAAGTACTAACAGTTTTCCGTAAAAAATAAGACCGTGTAGTCTGCCATCTACACACATCAAATTTAGTACGAAGGAGGAAAGTTTTATGTTATAAATTTACGATACTCCTTGATATCCTAGTCAGGGCAAAACCACTCCTAAAATTTAGAATGTCAATAGAATGGAACCAATGATACATCAAATTAAAGGTTTTTGGAAGACTTTTATTGTAATACCTGGTAACCTAAAGATTGTCGCCCACTTATCCGTTCCGTTCCATCCCGTCCTGAGTCGTCAAAACACGGATCAGATAAAAACAAATGAATGGATTTTGATGATTCGGTCTCTCTGTGAGAGACTCGAATCTCTGAATTAACAATTTTATCGTTCGAGTCTGATATACAAAGACTGTGAGAGATCCATAAAAACACCTAGGCAATAATTGAGAGACTGTGAAAGACTGTGAGAGACGCTGAAAGACTCCGAAAGACTCTGGGAGACTGGAGAGAGACTGAAAATTTTTGTCTAGGGTAGACTAAGGCAGACGGACCCGCAATCGAACCGGCGTCTTTCCGAATGCTAAGCAATAGTCTAAACCTCTAGGCCATGCCGTTCGGTACCGTCTGTAAATTGTAGCTAACTTTATATACCTGCCACATGTTGTTGAGTAATTGGTTCATTAGCAATCTCAGTGCTACTGTGGTTACCTTCCGTCTAATATAATGTGTTCTCTCAGTACTTTATAGTTTTAATACGGTTTACCGAATAAAGCGGGCATTTTTTATCCGCGTGTAATAATCGAGCGTTTCGCTACTTTTTTTTTTGATATGCATGCTATGAAGTTTTTAATTCGGCCGATGCATCAGTGCATCAGTTGTTATTTCCCAGCAAAGCGGACGATAAAAGCATCTTATGCCTCGCAGGGAGAGCAATCTCCGTTCCGGAAGTTTTACTACAGCTAAGTCCGATTATATTATGTATATAGTGCGCCGAAGAGGTGCCCCTGCCGGTTATTACTATTAGCGACTTTCCGGACCGCTTATTACAGGACTAAAATGTTTCAAGCTAATTTTGTTTTACGACGATACACATCGGGAAAATTAATGCGCTCTGGTATACGCGTTCCACTACTTTATTGAATACGAATACTCCATGAAAATAAAAATTTGTGGACACGTGCTGAAACAATTATGCGTAAGGGTAGTTGGACACTGTATCCTGTTCAAAAATACAGATACTTCAAAATTAAAATGACCATAAGAGTATGAAATGATCTCAATAATTGTCACAAAATATGCAAGCGCAGGCTTTTATGGTCGGTATTTTAGATTGACCGAACGCGTGGTTTAAAGGTTTATACCATTGCTTAAAATTCGGGAGGACATCGAGAAAAGGAAGCTGAAGAAGGCCCTCCGCTCTACTCTCCAGCTTTGCAATACAGTGCTGTTCGGAGGGACTGCCCGTTTACAGGCATTAGCGAATGGAAACGACAGAGTCAAATCCTTTTCAATTCTAATGGTCTGCCGGCTTACATGCATTAGAGAATGGGAATGACAGAGTCAAAACCTTTTTAATTCTGGATTACAATAACCAAGTTAAATTTTACATGAAGCTTAAAAAAGTCGGAGTATTACAAGCTTTATTGCGACACGATGAAATAGAGATGCACCGGACAGTGCTTTTGCCGGGGACCTACCGGATAACCGGGAACCCGACTTTAGCTGTGCTGGATACTCGACAAAACTACTGCGGGACTAATGGTTTATGTCTTCGTCCTGGCGTGGGTTTTTCATTATATACCACTTACACAACTGCAACGTCCCAAACCACATTAAGTCCTGTTTAAAAATTCGTTTAAACACTGAACCAATCAAAATTTAATTCTTCGTTTACGGATTTTCAACGAGAGAGTTGAGCTGTAATCATTGAAATGAGCCTATAACGATTATAAACACTAAAAGCTTGCAAGATGATAAAATTATACTTAAGTTATTGTTAATCAAACCCGATATATCAACAAGCAACAGTTTGGAAAAAAGAAAAACTAAACATAAGAATTATATCGAAATAACAAATAATTTAGTACAGTCATTAATAAATAATATACTCTGGGACAAACGACCTATTCCAATATAATCTTAATTACTAATTTTCAATAGGTAGATTTTTGTTATATCTATTTATTAAACTATTATTGCTGGTGGTTCCTTTTCTTTTCTATGGTAGAATTACCCGGTACGGTCGGGTACGCGGTATCAATATCCAGTAAAAAAAAAAGTTCTGGATCCGCCGGTTACCGGATCCAAACCTATCATTAGGACTCTAAAGAAAACTATTAAAGATGTTTGTTGCAGTAGCAGGTGGAATATCATGTACTTTGGACCACGGTCAATTAAATCCGAAAATAGAAACTGATTCAAAATCTAATAGTGTTTAGTGTAGGTAAAGCATGTGATTAATGGAACATAGTTGTGTACGCGGAACCGTATTTTGTACATGAAATCTTATTAAAAAAAATTAAAAGTGAAAATTTATCGGTTCCAGAGTTTTCCCAGGATGAATTTAACATTGTATATTTTTGTAACTGTCTATAAGGATTGTATGCGAATAGAAAACAATTATTCATCGTATAGACGTCAAACGGATTTGGAGCTGAGAGACTGAAAATCGGTCAAAAGTTTCCACCCTACTTTTAATCCACAAGGCGCGTTTTTAAAATGTCAACTCATATTTTTCCAGACTGTGACAAAGATGCCTTTTCTTCGGAAACATTTCTAATTTCATCTGCCTTCATTCCTATACGTACTGGATACCGAGAACTGGCGATATATCTAATTTTATATTAAATAGAAAATGGAAATTGAAAAACATTTTTATAGTCAATTTAGGGGTGAAAAACTTTCTTAAATATGGACATTTTAAAAGACAGGCTCATATTCAACTAGATACGTAGTTATCAATCAGAATGTTGTTGGAGCATACGTAATCCTAAAATGTAGCATCGTGCTACAGATGGCGTTTACTGAGCCATTTGTAGTATTTTCTAAAACGCAATGTTAAGACAGCAGGTTTAGAAACTGAAATTCTTAATCGGTTTTCGTATAATTTGTCTAATTGTAGTTATTTTATCTAGGTTTTTGTATGATTACATTAAATAATGCAATTTCAGATTTTCTTATAGAATTTTTCAATTTGTATGGGATATAAAGACGATCATAACCCTCAGAATCACCCTTATACACGCGTCTGTTAGGGTATGTACCGTGTATCGTATTTTCTTTCATCAATATTAATAATGATGCTTGCTCAGCTGCTGTCATATTCAACATAAATGAGCAGGTTCAGCTAGCGTTCATTAATAATGTTGGAGTAGAAGGCTAAACGTAATACTGACACGTTTTCCGTAAATTTCTTAATTAAATACTTTTCTTACCCTTCTCGCAAATTTGCTAAAACCTTGAAGGGTACTTAACCGATAGCAAACTTGTCCAAGCTTCAATTAAATGCTTAAAATACGGCTCCTTAATTGGCTTGCCAAGCGTTTAAAACGCTTTACGTCAATTTTACACTATAGGAAATTATTACAAGACCCTTGTAGAACTACAGAGTTTTGGAAAGAGTTTTTGTATCATTAACTGCTCATTATTTTTTCATTATTATATTTAGAGATGATATTAGATTAATAAATCTATTAAGGTCTATTAATTACAAGCCGATCGTAAAAATTTATATAGTAAAATATCCGTTATCAAGTTATTTAATTTGTAAAATCTATCGAACTGTAGACGCCTGTTTTCAGTTTTAAATCATGTTGTAGCAGTGGCGGCGCATAAATATTAATCTTAATAATTCAGTCAATTACCACGATATAAGTAAAAGACAATAAATGTTAAAAAAATCTTTTATGATTTTTACAGATGCTGGATGAATGATGGAAAATATAATATAATCCTTCAAGTACCAGTGTGTGCTGCCGTCTGCCTCAACGTTATATTCCTTATAAATATAGTGCGAGTGCTGCTAATAAAACTTAGAAATGGACCTCATCTGCAAAGGAACAATTCTGGCTCGACGAGGACTTCAATACAAGCCCTAAGGTAATATCACTAAAACAACAATTTGTTTAATTACCAAAACTTTGTCCTTAAACTTTTGCAACATTTAATTATTTTACAATTAATTAATTATTCAGAAGAACATTAATCGAACATTGTAGAGCCAATTGTATTTATAGCGATATCTGTTGTAACGTCCTTCCGGTTATAGCGACACTAATATCCCTCCTATGAATTTGAAACATACTTAAAAAAAATTATTCGGTCGTAGTGATAAGTGATATCAAATTCACTCGATTTCAATTATATTGTTGGATTTTTGAAAAACAACTGAAGCCCATCGAATATCACAAAATTTTCTTCGTTTCGTTTCATAAACAAATTTTATTTTAAAATTAGTTTTACTATTATAAGGTTTTCCTGAGATAAAACGTTCAGTCTCTCAAAGTCTCTGAATACGAGACTCGAGTCTCCGTCTCTCTTCAAGACTCTCTGGTGTCGCTGAGTGAGACTGTCGAGGTACTGTCAAAAAAACTGTTTAGCGTCTCTGAACGACAGACTCGAATCTCTGAACGAGAGACTCGAATCTCTCAATAAGTGGTGTCTCGATAGACATGGTTAAAATTTTCTGAGTTCAACATATTTCAGAGATCCCAGTCTTTCTACGAGAGACTCGAGTCTCTCAATTTTTCAGTTTTATTCATTCAGTCTCTCTGTGAGAGACTCGAATCTCTGAATTAACAATTTTATCGTTCGAGTCTCTCATACAAAGACTGTGAGAGATCCATAAAAACACCTAGACAATAACTGAGAGACTGTGAAAGACTGTGAGAGTCGCTCTCAGAGACGCTGAAAGACTCTCAGAGACTGGAGAGAGACTGAAAATTTTTGTCTAGGGTTATTAGAACCCTATTTTCGTTGATAGATCTAATGATAAAATAAGCAATATGGCAAGTGAATTTGACCTCGACTAATATACCCTCATAAATTCAGTTACACTCTAATAAGATTTCTCATTAATTAACTACCGCGGCAGGCATGGTTTTGCACCCTATTTAAACGACTCAATTTAGTAGTCTAGGCAATTAAATTTCTCTCGATAACCTCAACTAAAAGTAAAACACTACTAAAAATTGATCATTCCCTAATTAAATATTTTTACGTTGGTAGAGAACGAAATAAAAATTCCGAGCGCTCGACTGCTAAAACATTCTTGAAAAACGAATTGCAAAAATTAAACGAGTAACAGTATTTTACTCGGTCTGCGAAAAATGTGTACGACGTAAAAATTGCAGCAAATGCAAAAAAGTGTTGACCAAATGGGATCGGTAGGAAGCTGCTAACGGATGTCTATGACAGGCAGATGAGATATAAGGCCGGATACCGGATCCAGCATCCGACTCCGAGTTGAGTTAAAAATAAACTGACTTTAGTGTACACAAGTACAAGTGAAAAGGTGAAATGACAAGAAATTATTCGATTATCTACAAGTCAAATTTTAGTGATTAAAATCATTATCTGGCATAATAAAATCTTAGTAGCATCAGATTGCATTTTGTAATTATTTTTTTTTGCGACCAACAGTATCAGAAGAGTAGAAGTTTTATAATCCATACATTAAAATCAAAATATTTGGTAGTAAACCTTCAGTATCTAAATAACAGTGAAACATAGGACGTTATGGAAGTCAAAAATAAATAGGCCAGATAGGTTGGTGTAAGACACCTTCTCGGGCATGAAGAGACATACTAGAAGCAGAAGCAGGAGTAAAGAGGAGTGGAAGTAGATCTAGGTTAGATTGCTGTTCACATACAGTTAAAGATGTGGGATGTTTTGGTCTAAATTTAAATGTAATATTGTAGCGACCACGAGCGTGATTGTGTGCGATCGGGCATACGTGTGTGTGAGCGGCTTATCGATTCGCCGACTAGCCGCGGGCGCTTTTCTTCATGTGCGCCGTATCTGTAAACGTTGTGTGTCGTACCTGCTTTCCGGGAAAGCAATTAAACCGTTCAAAGAAAACGAGACTTCTCTGGACGGCTGGAGAACGTTCCCGAAAGGAGGCAAGGGAGTATAAAAAGGAAGAGACGATCGCCGAAGAAGAGTAGAAATAAATTGACCGTTGCAGAGGTGAATCAAGAGATAAATTGACAGTGATAGAAGTGAAACAAATAGAACAGTGAATAGTAACAGTAGTGTAAATAAATAGAATAATTACCGAAGTTTAGTAGTAATTTAATAGTGTTTTTAAGTTTAATAGTAATTAGTGTAAATAAATAGTTTTCTTCTTAAAATTTAATTTGTTAAACCCACGAACATTACAATATAAACATATATGTATATTTTTACAAGCAACCCTTGGAGTTGTGATTTATTTCTAAGGTGCGACCCACGGCCTAGATCATTTGGGCTGGCTACCCCTACATTAGGGCATGGTTGTTTTCCCTAAATTAAATTATTGTTCATAAATAGTTAAGGTTGTGGGATGCGCTAGTTTTAGGGAAATGCGAAGAAGCTGAGGCTAGGAAATAGTGGAGTTGCGTATCCAACCAGTATTAGGACTCATAACCCTATTATGATGATGATAATGATTTAAAAAGTTGATTCATGAAATACGTCATTGTAGAATTGTAGAATAATGATGTCTTAATGGTTGTAAAGAAATGGGGCTATTAATAAACCCACAAATAGATAATAAACTTAGTTGCTCAATTCAATAGTGGACAACGAAGTAGAAAGCTAAAGAAATTCAAAAGTGAACACAATATATACGTCGCAGGTATGATTAATTAGTTCTGTTTCACGATTTCGGTTGTATCGCTTAATCGTTTGGCTGTTGCTAACGCTTTTAGCTGTACTTTGTAGTTTAATTGGTCATAATATTTTGCAGTCGGAAGTCGACTGCTTAACTGACATTTCGATGGGATGAAGAGTTAGTAATTAAAATTGCAGACAACTTTCATGCTCTGAAATGCTTAATTGTTCGCGACTGGCTCAAAATTACCATAATTTTATTTGCCTCGTTTCCCATTTACTGCTCAAAAATTTCTTCAGTTCACTTTTATTGTGACATTTGGAAAGAGTATGACAAAGGATTGCGAATATAATCAAAAAATAAATTAATCATTTATATTTTCAAATATGTCCTAAGCTATGAAGTTATATTAAGCATAAAAGTCCTTTTGATTGATGATTAATACATACATCATTTAAGTATCTCTCAACTGACATGAATTTAACAATCAACTGTTTGATGATATCCGAATCTTCCTGTATATATTTGTCATAAGTAATCGAGAGAAAATCCCTCAGGATAAACGACAACCTTATACATCGTCCGCAGAACTTTGAAAGGGAATTTTACTCAAGATGAATACGTGGATTGTAACAAAATGAGGTGATTTCAACTGACACCACTTCTCTTGGAACTAATATTACGGCTTCAAAACATATTCCACAGAAGTCCGTTATTTTCTACCACAAAAACACATCTCATATTATTTTCTTTTTACAATATTATTTTAGAATATTTTCTACAGTCTTCATCCTTCATTTTAATATGAATTCAATTAACGAAAACATTAAACGTTAAGGTTTTGTGTTCTTTGTTACTGACTACATTAAGATACTTAATCTTCTTAAAATAAGGTGCATGAAATACAAAATTTCAAAATGAAGCTATCTCATTACGAGTTCCGAATTTATAAAGCGGTGGATTACATTACAAATGATATTAATAAATACACTTTCAGAAGAACATTAATCGAACATTGTAGAGCCAATTGTATTTATAGCGATATCTGTTGTAACGTCCTTCCGGTTATAGCGACACTAATATCCCTCCTATGAATTTGAAACATACTTAAAAAAAATTATTCGGTCGTAGTGATAAGTGATATCAAATTCACTCGATTTCAATTATATTGTTGGATTTTTGAAAAACAACTGAAGCCCATCGAATATCACAAAATTTTCTTCGTTTCGTTTCATAAACAAATTTTATTTTAAAATTAGTTTTACTATTATAAGGTTNCTTCATTTTAATATGAATTCAATTAACGAAAACATTAAACGTTAAGGTTTTGTGTTCTTTGTTACTGACTACATTAAGATACTTAATCTTCTTAAAATAAGGTGCATGAAATACAAAATTTCAAAATGAAGCTATCTCATTACGAGTTCCGAATTTATAAAGCGGTGGATTACATTACAAATGATATTAATAAATACACTTTCACCCAATTTTCAACCCTGTGGGATCGTGACTGTATAGGTATACATAACAAAGGTATGTGTCTAATCCTTAATAATATTCAATACTTCAAAAGTATATGTAGGTATAAACACTCATTTATTGTTTGGTAATTGCAAAATAACAACTCACTTTTAACATAAGTAAGTAAGGAACAATAATTTAAATTGAAGCGAATTGGTCTAAAAAGCATCAATACCGATAAAGGAAAAAAAAACGGTAGGTCCACTGCGCAATGAGCGACTGCACATTAGTTTCTTATTATGACTTGTCATACACAAAACGTACCTCAACAAAATCTCTCCTTATTACGGGTAGCGCCTTAAGATAGGTGCGGGTAATGAAGCTTAGCTAAGGGAGGTTTGAAATGAAATAAAAACTATTTAGCCTAATTAACAAATATTAATGTTAATTAAACCTAATTATGGATTACTGTCAAATATAAACAAAACATATGGCAACTTCTGTAGGTACTAAATAAAAATAAAATTAAACATTTTTAAAAACATTGTAAGTAGGATACTAAGGCCTAAAACTGTAAAAAACAGAAATCCTGTCTTCCTCTCAACCGTGACAGTACCAACTCGCCGGATTTTCCTTAATACAACTTCTACCTTTAGGGACATAGAGGGAGTTAGGCCTTTTTTTATTCTTTTCGCTTACTTGTTTTTGTCAAACAGATCTTTGGTGACTGGAGTATAATAAGGTCTACGGTCGAATTTTGTAGGCTTTAATAACCGCCGACAACGTGTATAAAGAAAAACTAAAAAGAAATTATTCGGACCGTCACATATTATTTAATCATCAAAGGTCGTACAGGCATAAAATAATAAAAAAACTATAGGATTGATTCGGACTATTTGTTATTTGAGCTGGCGTAACTACCCTTCGCAATGAATAACGGCGCACCGGTGGCGGTAAGCAAGCTAACTCTTCGCGACAGGTTTGAGGCGCCATCTATGAATGTTAGTTACCTACGAGTGTGATTTTGAGCGACAACGATTATTTTAAATTGTATTTTTTTTTACACAGGCCTTATTAGTCGACAGGCCTTATTACCCGCACCTTCCTTACATTAAACAAATCATGTAATTTGTACTGTTATTTCTAGTTTCTAATTTTCGTTATAATAAGGATACCTCACCCTTAACCACCTTAATCACACATGTCTATACGATACTCGCGAAATGTCTGTTTTAGTCACGCACGAAAGACTTTTGTGAACGATTGTCCCTCACTCGTTTTAAATAGATGTACAATGGTGAGACCTTTACTTTGGTATATTATTTGTTTTATATATCGCATGGTTAGCGAGAAATTAAATAAAGAAAGGGGTGACTTGAACCACCCTGTAGGTATACACACTATAAGTTTTTAAAGAGGCGAAAAAGTTTATTCATTTCGCTGGCTCTAGTTTTTCAGAAACAAACTTGGATATCCGTTTCGGAAACAAGATATTTAAAATGAAGTCAGATAACGAGAAAAACATGCTTTGTAAACTTTTTTCTCTTTGGCATGAACGTCATTATTTAAAAAATGTTCTTTTTCTTTTCAGGGCCACGTTGTTACTTGTCCCGTTGCTGGGTCTCAACTTTCTCCTAACGCCTTTTAGACCGGAGGAAAAACACCCGTGGGAACACGCATACGAAATCCTTTTAGCCATTACCGCTTCACTTCAGGTTCGTTATTATATTCTGTCTCCTTGGTAACTGAACGATTTCAATAGAATAATATTAAATGCGTAATCTTCTTATTCCTTCGACTTTTCTACTAAAAAAAATGAACGGTTCAGAAAAGCCACCAGATTTTCTCAATTACACCAACAGATTTGTAACTCTAAAGAACACCTTTTTTTATCGAGTAATCAAAGATTATTTATAACTAACATTAAATTTAAAGTCAGCGGATTGATTTAAATTAACGAAAATGACTTTTCCAGCTTCAATTTTCATTATACAGGTACTTTGCATACAAGAGTCGTGCAACGTTTAAAATTAAAACAGTGCATTATGACGAACAAGAAGCATATTTCAGCGTGAATGAATCATTACTGAAATAGAATTGTTACAGATGCAAACGCTTGATGAGGGAAGATATGATTGTACCTCGTCACTTTAGTGGTAGGATGCAAAACACTAAAATCTAGTACTCATATTTCTCAAGTAGATTTCAAGCTTATTACATAAACGTCATTCTCAGTCGGTAATACAATACAGCTATAAATATTGCCAAGTAACAGTTTTATATGAATTTAGACTTATTAAGTGGTATGCAACTGATGTGGTTTCGGAGTCCTTTAATTGTTTATTTGTGTTTCCTGCAATTTACTGTTCATAAAGGTTCTGTAAAAATATTGAGCTGCAGGGTCGGACTGGCCTATGTGGTCAGGTGTTGATCGCTGCTAGGGCCAAATAGGGACCACACAGTTCGAATAAAATTAAATACCAAAGCAAAAAATAAAAAAAAAAAAAAGAAATGAACCTGTTCACTTTACCATGTACTCAAGCTTCATTCTTAAGAATTATAAACACTAGGGTTGATAATCTACTTTCAGTCAAAATTTTCTTGAAGCAATTTGCTGTTAAAAGATATTTTACTCATAATTATCAGAAAGCCAGCGATGATATCGGTCTCTCAGGAATTTTCAAAATTGCTAGAATTATAATTTGGTCTGTTAATCTTTTAATTTTCTTTCATCTTATGATGATGAAGAATTATAGGGTCATGGGAGTTAACGCGCTTAGTTTATGTTAATACGAGGGTTATGGGGTTTAACAGACATGGGTTATGGAATTATGCGGCTTTTAATGTGGGGGTTATTAACAAGGTTCAAGAGGCTTAAGTTTAATATTTTTGGGTTGGTGGGTTTCCACATTCATTTTACAACTACCGAGGTCAACACTAGACAGTCCGATCCTGAAAATGCATATATATTAAAAAATTCGCGACAACAGAATTGTATGGCATAAATATGAAAAATGATACATAGAAAACACGGGCAGGCGCATGTTAATGCCATTATGCATTATTAGATCGCACATTCTGTGCATACACCATGCAACAAAGAAGGCTGAATCTACTGTCCGAAAGCGGTCATTCTTCCGAAAACAAAAACAAAAAAGAACAGATATACCGGTAGCGAACTGCATATAATAATCGTAAATATAACAAAGAGCGTTGGTTACGAAATGCCATCACAAGTTAAATAAAAAGTTTTTATGTGCAACCTCCTACTTCGACATTTCAATTTGTCAACCCGATTTTTTGTACTACATCAGAAGATACATTTTTACGCCATTTGGTAATGTTATCTACCTGTGATTAGTAAATTTCATTTTGAAATAACATAAAAATTTTGATATAACAAAAGAGAATTCAATCTACTGTAGATTTCGGGTATAACGACAACTAAGGGACCACTGTAATTTCAGCGTTATATCCGGGAGTGGTTACAGGCAAAGAGGTACAGACACGTATGTATAGTTTTCTCCATTTTTTAATTTTGAAACTATTTTTCTAACCGTAAATGTGCATCTAGGAGTCATACTTATTCAAAAGGTTGCTAAATACAAGTTCTACTCGGAATATCAGTTTGTAACTGAACCATTTTAACCTATAACATCTATAAACAAACGGTAAAAGGTCACCGCACTTTCTGACCATCTGTGTGGATGTAAATAAATGATAAGAAAGTTCTTTGTGTCTTTGGCGGACGACTCCGGTCGCAATATCTGCATGAGATTACTAAGGATTTGTTACAAATGATCCTTTAAAAACAGTCGATACATCCGAACTCGGCGATACATCCGAAGTCGCCATAACCACATGAATTTTGTACCAAAGTATGCTTTACATTCAAGGGACTTAGATTTAACGTCGTTATAGCAAAATTGTCGCCAAAGCCAGGGTAGTAATAAATGAAATCCACTGCATCTCAAAAACCCGACTTTTTAACGAATTTTCACCTTTAATATTTATTTAAACAACTCCTACCGTTTTAAGGTACATCATCAGCGTAAGGTCATCAGTCCTAAGACTGGTTGGACACGTACCTCCACTCTTTCCTATCCTGAGCTAAACTTCGCATTTCCCTAAAACTAGAACAACCCACATCCTTAACTATTTGCGAAGAGTAATCTAATCTAGGTCTACCTCTACCCCTCCTAACTCCTGTTTCTGCCTCTAATATGTCTCTGACTAGACCTTCATGCCTGAGAAGGTGTCCTACCAACCTATCTCGCCTAGTTTTTATTGACTTCCATAGAGTCCTCTGTTCTCCTATTCTTTCCAATACCTCTTCATTTCTAACCTTTTCTATCCACGACATCCTCATCATCCGCCTATAACACCACATTTCGAACGCTTCTTACCTTTTCTTTTCCGCCGTTCCCATTGTCCATGTTTCGCACCCGTACAACGCCGTGCTCCAAACATACACGTTTAACAACCTTTTTCGAATTTAAGGTACATATTGCGAAAATTTAAAACCTTATTGTATCACTTCATATACCATTCTTCTATTGCAATTTCCTTTCAAAATTGAATTAATGTTGACATTTCAAGTCGTGAGGTTGATAAAATCCGACAATGTTGATATTTATATCGTTATGATTTTCACCTTTAAGTAAGCCAGTAAAAATTATTTTCTCTGCAGAACAACATACATACGGCTATGACCTTGTAAAACCAGCCGAGTTTTCTCTAAACAGAAAAGCTTTGGAAATAAACTATGGAGAAATACAAGAGTTCTTTGAATAATACGCTAGTCGTCTGGTTTGCCTCGCAAATGGGGTATTCGTGTTTCTTTTCTGCCTGGCAATGTTCCGTGTATGCTCTACAAACATTTACAATTCAACTCGAATAAAAATTTCATTGCTCGCGTTCATTTTATATTTCTGCTCTCGTGCAAGACTAAGTAATAATGCGCTGACGGCTCTGTTTTCATAATTGCATCAACAAGGCCAATTGAACTAGTTTGAATAACAATATTGACTGAAAGCAATTCACAAATTATCCGGATAAAACTTCGCACTCTTTTAAATCATCCAATAAAATAAACGCACTCTCATCAGTTATTTAATCAAGTTAGGGTATAAAACCAATAGTATATGATTCGTGCGTATATATAGAGAAGTTAAAAATTTTTTCCAATGTTTTCCATAGCGGAATTCAAGATTATATTATAGGTTTGTCCCTACGTAAATCACTACATAGTATAAAACAAAGTCGCTTTCCCGCTGTCTGTCCCTATGTATACTTAAATCTGTAAAACTACGCGACTGATTTTGATGCGGTTTTTTTTTAAAGATAGAGTCATTCAAGAGGAAGGTTTATATGTATAATACATGCATAATGTAGTAAGGAAACACTGATAATTGTAGAGGTTTTTAATGTGATGTCGTAAATAAACACATTTTTTGCGCTTACATTACAAACGCTGGCTGAACCCTACGAGATCAAAATAATGTACTACAATGCTGTACATCTTAAAAGGGTCTACAAAAAAGTCCGCGATGGTATATGTCTATCTCTTAGGGATAACCCACAATAACCATTTTTATCCTTTACTTTTTATGAGAAATAATGACTTGTTTACGAAGCGATTGTAAGCAATACAGCATTAATTCTTATCCAATTAAGTACCTTAAATACATTGTGCATTTAATATAGATCAATATGGCCCTTTACAGCATGTAGTTTAAATGAATATTTTCGAAGATATTACAGATTTAAAATGCAGGGACATAGCGGTTGCGGCGGTACCGGCCGGGAGGCCGGTTTGTATTGTCTAATGACAAAAAAACTGTGAATGTTGTATATAAAGACATTCTGTAGTATATTTAGTATGTTCAGGGGGTATCTTTTGAAGATTTCCCCTTTTCGATAATAATCTAAACAAAACAAAAATATATTTAGTATCAGCATTGCACCCGTGCGAAGCTGGGGAGGGTCACTAGTAGATTATATATTTCAAATTAACTGATTTGAACTGCATTACATAATCTACATACATAGGAAAATTCTTGAAAATATCCGAGTGGCCGATAACGAAACGTCGATTCAAAATAAACCTGTTGATTTAGTACAGGTGCCTTTACAGCACGAAACTTTACAGCACATTTTACATCTTTATATTTCTATTTCCTTCGGTAAATATTGATTTTCCCGGTAAACATTAAATAGATTAGTAGGTACTATGCTTTCGTCACGTTTTCACTTTTGAGATAATTTTTCTCAGGCACTAAATTAATGTAAGCAGGTGTAAGGTATATGCATATGAGTCATTCAGAGCAAAAAAGAAAAGTAACATTAAAAAAACACAATAAGTAGTGTAACATTATCTACCATTAAAGTAAATGCTTCGTCTACAGACTTTCTTAAATTAGATACACGAGTTCGTCTATTTATTTGCATAATTTTATTGGTTTATGTACAGTGGGTAAGGTATATTCAACTTCATTTTTACGGTATTCTAAATTAGTACTAAAACGCGCATACAAACTAATTATTAGGAAGGATATGTACAAAAAAAGCTAAGGTCAAAAGTTTTATCGCACGGGTCCAAAAGCTGCTAACTACGTGAATCAAATCAAAAAACACAGGAACTACAGAATTATTATTATATTGCAATAAATATATACTTATGGAGAAGGAAAAACAGTTCAAAATACACGGGCAAATTGAAATTTTCCTCTGAAAATTGGCTTTTCCAACAGAATGTTCTTGTACGGCTTTCCTTACTATGATAAGTCATAAAAAAATAATCACCTAGAACCCACTACCCGACGAAAATAATAGGGCAAGAAACCAGGAGAATTTTGCATTTTCCGAAAATTTTCTCCAAAAAATTAGGGGATTTGTACTATTCGGTTTCTATGCTTACATAGATCCATTCGTAAGTTACATCGTACAAATACAAGGGTGAGAACCGCCGAGCTATACGTCTGCCTTAATATTTGAATAACCTTGCATCATGCTGGCGTAGGGTAGGAGATTGTGCCCGAGGTTTCTAATCCTTGTAATTAGCAAATATGTACGACATTACTAAATAACAGATCAGACTGAACAGTGCAAACGACGTATAATTCCTAAACTAAATCCCACCTTTTTTAAGAAGAAAATAAAGAAAAGTTGTTAAGGCTGATACATTTCCAATCATCTGGAACCAATTTCCTTTGTACGAAATTTAATTTTAATTTATTTTTGTTTTAAGTCTTAATTTTTCTCTTCTGTACCAACAAATTTATACGGCATTACTTAAATATGAATTTGTATGCAAGGATAGAAATTGAAATGTTCAAACGCCGTACAGTATTAAATTTCCTAATGTTTCGTGGAAAATTTTCGGAAAATCAAAAATTTTTCTTGTCCCTTATTTTTGCATGGAGTAGGTTCTAGGTGATTATCTTTTTATCACCTATCACTGTGAAGAATACCGTACAAGAATAGTTTACCGGAAAAGCGCATGTTCAGATGAAAATTTCTGTTAGCGTATGCTTTTACTGGTACCGCCCAAAACTGACGGCATATGTTATTGTTTCATACAGTATCATCATTCTGATTACATTTTATGCGGGTCACTTGACCCCTTCAAAATTTACAATGGGCTTGCGGTTTAATATAGTTCGTATCTATCTTTTTGGACACATTTACCCTTTTCTGCATTTCTGATTATTCCAAAAACTCAAAAAAACTGTGATGCAATCACTTAAAACAGAATGAGATAAATTAGAGCATCAGTGGATATTCTACAATAAATTAATTTTAATCGTAAGTAAAATAGGTACCATTGTTTTTAGTTTAGAGGAAGATTCTCAAACAAATAGAAACTAAGTATTTCATTAAAGTGCCGTCAGAGTTTGCGGAACTTTATGCCTATGACATAAATCTAATAAACGTCTGTTTACTTTGAAAAAGTGCTGTCAATTTTTCACGGCAATCAATACTAGAGCTAAAGGTTTTCGATCTTCGAAATATTCGAAAAAGCTGTCCACGCGCTAATTTGTAATCATTGATTTAACTCAAAGCATATACGTTATAAGTGAGTTTTAGTGTATATAGATTATATTATCAGATGGTATCTATCTAACGATTTTAGTTATAAGTATAGTTGAAAATAAACGAAATACATTATGACTAATGTTTTCTTTTTGTTTCTAGGGATTTTGCGTCGCCATTTTATTCTGCTTTTGCAATGGGGAGGTAAGTTTAAAAATATTATAAAGTTTTACGATTACATAAATTATTAAATATAATAATATCGAATGTATAACAAAGGATTAATTAAATCCTAAAAGGACAGCAATTCTACAAAATCTCACTTCAGATAAAGTTGATGTAGGGTTATTGAACTAAATTTCATTTGTCCTTTCTCGTAGCATAACCGTATTGCATGACGATCCGTATTTAGATATTAAGGAGATAAAATAATTTTGTCGTTTGTCATTTTTCTCATTTTCACCCTTCTATCGTAGGGTTGGCAGAATTAATATTATTAAGTTAATGTAGCATTCCAGTATTTAGGAAGGGTCGTCCCATAAGGGATTGCCGAAGATTAAAGTCGATATGTCGTCATATAACGAACCGTAATGAAAAATTAATTGTTTTTTGCTGCTCTTCTCCAATAGGTAGAAGTTTGAAAATTGTATTGGAACAAGAAAATCGTGTGTTTAATGTAGGTACGCAAAAGGCAATACAAACTCACAGATTAAATGAACAATATTAATGAATTACCTTGATTGTTGCCATCAACACTAAAAAGTAATTTCAAATTGACTTTTCTTCTATCATATTACTACCACATTACATATACAAAGAAATCGAAATTTTATTTTAAATTGTGTTTTTTTTTTCTTAATTAAACAACAATTTTTATTTACCCTTCCCTAACATTTATTGGATTACCTACAATCTGGAAGCGCACTAGGTCGATAACCACGATTAACAAGGGTCACATGCTGCTCTATGTAATAACGAATGCGGCCCTGTACATGAAAACGAATGAAACGCGTTCTCGCGAGATTTGTTACAATTCGCACACGTGAAATTTTCCGCATAAGCGTTTTCACATTAATTTCCACAAATAGCAAATAACAGCTTAGTACGTCCCTGATAAAGATATTATATGCGATTGATGCCCGTTTTCTATTTATAATCATGATCAACTAATAAGGATGAATTTGTACGACAATTTTTGGTCAAGTTTCCACATCCTTCCTGAATGTAATAACCAAGTTGTGAAACTTCGTTATTAAGTTTATACCGTTAGTGACATTTGACGGAGAGAACGGTTCGATTTGGTCAAGAGGGACGCGCCCGTATAGAATTGAATTATTTTAAGTTGCTCACTGCAAATCGCTTTTTTGATAAGTTTTGCCAAAATTGCAATTCTCCATCCAGGTAGCAGCAGAATTTTTATCGCATTACGCTAGTCGGTACATACCTATGCCGCCAATTCACGCACAGGGCCGGCTTCGGATTGTAAGTTATTGTGATTTTCTCGAAAATCTTTTTGGCCCTTAACCACCTGAACTTACCGTACGATTGTTTTATTGCATCTAGTTTACATCATTCAATGCTAGGCACTCATTTCTGTTACACTCGGAATTTGCAATAGAAAAATAAATTGAATTATTGCAATGACGTTTACCAGCAAACATCAACGGTGTCAGATGAATTTCTTTTGTTAGATGTTGTCAGTGTTTCTTAATTTGACGAAAATTTATAATTATATTATTATTGATGTTCCACTACACTAGACAGTATATTTATCTACTGGAATTATTATGAAGTAGAATATATTTAAGAGGTGTGAAGAAACGATTAAGAGGAAATTCTTGTTATAAACATAAAAGCAATACGGTCTTATTGGATTCGATTTAGGAAAAACGTAGTCAAATCTTTTCCATTTCTCGAANATATTATTTGTTTTATATATCGCATGGTTAGCGAGAAATTAAATAAAGAAAGGGGTGACTTGAACCACCCTGTAGGTATACACACTATAAGTTTTTAAAGAGGCGAAAAAGTTTATTCATTTCGCTGGCTCTAGTTTTTCAGAAACAAACTTGGATATCCGTTTCGGAAACAAGATATTTAAAATGAAGTCAGATAACGAGAAAAACATGCTTTGTAAACTTTTTTCTCTTTGGCATGAACGTCATTATTTAAAAAATGTTCTTTTTCTTTTCAGGGCCACGTTGTTACTTGTCCCGTTGCTGGGTCTCAACTTTCTCCTAACGCCTTTTAGACCGGAGGAAAAACACCCGTGGGAACACGCATACGAAATCCTTTTAGCCATTACCGCTTCACTTCAGGTTCGTTATTATATTCTGTCTCCTTGGTAACTGAACGATTTCAATAGAATAATATTAAATGCGTAATCTTCTTATTCCTTCGACTTTTCTACTAAAAAAAATGAACGGTTCAGAAAAGCCACCAGATTTTCTCAATTACACCAACAGATTTGTAACTCTAAAGAACACCTTTTTTTATCGAGTAATCAAAGATTATTTATAACTAACATTAAATTTAAAGTCAGCGGATTGATTTAAATTAACGAAAATGACTTTTCCAGCTTCAATTTTCATTATACAGGTACTTTGCATACAAGAGTCGTGCAACGTTTAAAATTAAAACAGTGCATTATGACGAACAAGAAGCATATTTCAGCGTGAATGAATCATTACTGAAATAGAATTGTTACAGATGCAAACGCTTGATGAGGGAAGATATGATTGTACCTCGTCACTTTAGTGGTAGGATGCAAAACACTAAAATCTAGTACTCATATTTCTCAAGTAGATTTCAAGCTTATTACATAAACGTCATTCTCAGTCGGTAATACAATACAGCTATAAATATTGCCAAGTAACAGTTTTATATGAATTTAGACTTATTAAGTGGTATGCAACTGATGTGGTTTCGGAGTCCTTTAATTGTTTATTTGTGTTTCCTGCAATTTACTGTTCATAAAGGTTCTGTAAAAATATTGAGCTGCAGGGTCGGACTGGCCTATGTGGTCAGGTGTTGATCGCTGCTAGGGCCAAATAGGGACCACACAGTTCGAATAAAATTAAATACCAAAGCAAAAAATAAAAAAAAAAAAAAGAAATGAACCTGTTCACTTTACCATGTACTCAAGCTTCATTCTTAAGAATTATAAACACTAGGGTTGATAATCTACTTTCAGTCAAAATTTTCTTGAAGCAATTTGCTGTTAAAAGATATTTTACTCATAATTATCAGAAAGCCAGCGATGATATCGGTCTCTCAGGAATTTTCAAAATTGCTAGAATTATAATTTGGTCTGTTAATCTTTTAATTTTCTTTCATCTTATGATGATGAAGAATTATAGGGTCATGGGAGTTAACGCGCTTAGTTTATGTTAATACGAGGGTTATGGGGTTTAACAGACATGGGTTATGGAATTATGCGGCTTTTAATGTGGGGGTTATTAACAAGGTTCAAGAGGCTTAAGTTTAATATTTTTGGGTTGGTGGGTTTCCACATTCATTTTACAACTACCGAGGTCAACACTAGACAGTCCGATCCTGAAAATGCATATATATTAAAAAATTCGCGACAACAGAATTGTATGGCATAAATATGAAAAATGATACATAGAAAACACGGGCAGGCGCATGTTAATGCCATTATGCATTATTAGATCGCACATTCTGTGCATACACCATGCAACAAAGAAGGCTGAATCTACTGTCCGAAAGCGGTCATTCTTCCGAAAACAAAAACAAAAAAGAACAGATATACCGGTAGCGAACTGCATATAATAATCGTAAATATAACAAAGAGCGTTGGTTACGAAATGCCATCACAAGTTAAATAAAAAGTTTTTATGTGCAACCTCCTACTTCGACATTTCAATTTGTCAACCCGATTTTTTGTACTACATCAGAAGATACATTTTTACGCCATTTGGTAATGTTATCTACCTGTGATTAGTAAATTTCATTTTGAAATAACATAAAAATTTTGATATAACAAAAGAGAATTCAATCTACTGTAGATTTCGGGTATAACGACAACTAAGGGACCACTGTAATTTCAGCGTTATATCCGGGAGTGGTTACAGGCAAAGAGGTACAGACACGTATGTATAGTTTTCTCCATTTTTTAATTTTGAAACTATTTTTCTAACCGTAAATGTGCATCTAGGAGTCATACTTATTCAAAAGGTTGCTAAATACAAGTTCTACTCGGAATATCAGTTTGTAACTGAACCATTTTAACCTATAACATCTATAAACAAACGGTAAAAGGTCACCGCACTTTCTGACCATCTGTGTGGATGTAAATAAATGATAAGAAAGTTCTTTGTGTCTTTGGCGGACGACTCCGGTCGCAATATCTGCATGAGATTACTAAGGATTTGTTACAAATGATCCTTTAAAAACAGTCGATACATCCGAACTCGGCGATACATCCGAAGTCGCCATAACCACATGAATTTTGTACCAAAGTATGCTTTACATTCAAGGGACTTAGATTTAACGTCGTTATAGCAAAATTGTCGCCAAAGCCAGGGTAGTAATAAATGAAATCCACTGCATCTCAAAAACCCGACTTTTTAACGAATTTTCACCTTTAATATTTATTTAAACAACTCCTACCGTTTTAAGGTACATCATCAGCGTAAGGTCATCAGTCCTAAGACTGGTTGGACACTGGTTGCCGTGACTTCACGAGCAGAGTTTATTTAGTTTATGTTTTATTATTTTTACTTATTGCTTTGCTACTCAATTATCCATGGTAGCAAGTTATCCCGATTTTTATTTTATTTTTTAGTTTATTCGATCGCCAGGTTTGCCACATCCCGATGAAGATAAAGTATGACTAGGAAAGAAAAGAAAATTTTCTAATTGGTCAGTCACGAAAAAAGACTGTTACACCTCCGAAAATAATAGAGAAATGACACCAATACACAACGTTTGAAACTAAAATACGATAAACAATAATAAAGTTACTATCCTACGCCTAATATATGTTCCAGTTTATAATGCAAATAATATGTTTCAAATTTTACAGAATATTTCGTATTATTGTCTATATCTTCAACTTTCTCGTACAATTTGCTAATAGCAAAAGCTTATTCTGTAAAGCAAATGATAAATAAAAATAATTATCGAACAGCTTCGCTTGCCATAATAATTCAACAGCAAAATGTACCAAATGTAATATATTA